CCTCGGTTATGGCAGGATATCAAGGTAGACCCTTGACAGATGACTTTAGGTGTCACCAACAAAACAACTAGATGAAAAGCTATAGATTGCGGTTCACGGTGGCGAGCAGTCATCACAGAGGCGGCAATCAGATTTAAAAAAATTTAGATCACGCGCCTCTTAAACAGCGGACGACACTTAGTATCATCAAAGCGATCACGGGTCAGTCCGCATCAGGAGTGCTGGAACATCCACCGAGGAGGGGCAAAATGCGATTGGACGGCTGTCTCAATCTAACAGAGTTTAACTGTTAAGCGAATCAAATACACTAAAGGGTGCCGCCCTTTATCCAGTCTTAGAGCAAGGTACCGAGGGCGCACCCCAACAGTGCACTTTAAGTGCCACTAAAGAAACAGCTAGATGAAGACATACAGAAGGCTACTTGATGGTGTAAGGCGGTCATCAGAGAGCTGGCAGTCAGACCATACACCAGACGAAACTTAGTACCACCAAAGTGATGGCAGACTAGTCCGCATCAGGAGCGTTGGAACACCCACCGAAAGCTGCCTTTAAGGGGACACTCATAAAAACCTAAAAGTACAGAACTAAGGCCTTCGCGAGAGCGATTAACATTTGACGGTCTAACGTGTAGATATCATACAGGAAGATACACGCCTACGGACATCAGCGATAGCATTGATGGACCGCTTGAGGTTATGCGGCTCTGGTGGAGGAAAAAGAGTACGACAAAATGAACAGTAACAAGGCGTATTGAGTAGACTAGAGTGCACAGGTAACAGATACGCAAGAATGGCTATTACTTCTAAATTCGTAGTTTATCGATCCTGGTGATAGCCACGAACTGACACGAGCGGAGTCACGGAGAAATAACAGCAGTGTAGGAGGCCAAACTGACCACTTTGTTTTAATTTACCTTTTCGTTGTTAAGTTTTTATGGATTTTTGAAGAGCGCCAACATTCTCGCTTTAGTAACCGTCATCGACGTGAGTCAAGGAGATGCTCGGGAGGATCTGCAGCCAGACGAGACCGAGGGCAAAACCGAAGAAGGCCAATAGCCGTCCAAACCCTTTGAGTTCCCGTTATTACATGTTTCACCGGTTCAGATTCAATAAATGCTTATTTCGACAGCACCTCTTATTAGCTTGTGTATTAAATGAATAATCGACTATATCACGTTATCATGGAACTTCAGGCGAAGAATCAAGTCAAGCGACAGACTAAAAGCCTAACTGAAGAGGCGATCAATATGAGTGACAATAAGACTAGTCCCGATAGGAAGGATAGGACCGGCACGGCTATTATAGCAGAACCTGTTAAATATAGAAAAAAAAAACAGAGAAACAAAACTGAATGTGGGACACAAAGGAAACAAGGCAGCGTACCTCGCGGACGCGGATGCCAAAGACCTTGGACTCCTCTTCAGACCTGCGCATGAGTTGTATGTTCTGAACACGTTCTTCCTCCAGCTGGTGGACGCGTGACTGCAAGGACTTCGCCTCGGTCTTCATCTTGTTCATGTAGAGACGCATCACGGTGATCTCCTCGTCCAGGCGGTCTGCATTCGCCGCGTTCGGTTTCTACAGGGCAGGGTAGGGTGGCGGAAGCGTACACTGGTCAATACTCAACGGAAGGGTAGACTAGCACTCGCTTAAAGAATGAATACGGTGGCAGATGTGCGGAGAGGTGGAGAGAGCTAACAGTTGGGCACACAAGGCCAAAGTTTAACTGGTAGGAAAATGTCACAAGCGCACTGTTGGCAGACATACAGCCGCAGAGCTTATTATTACTAACTATTACTACTGCTGCTACTACTATTATTATTATTACTACTACTACTACTACCATCAGCACCACTAATACCACTATGAATGATAATAATACCTTTAATACTACTGCTACTACAGTTAGGCCTGAGCCAGGAGGCCTCCCTGTCAGCACATTGTTTCAGTCTGTTGAGGACAAATAGTTTCCGCTTTATGAATCAAGGTTGTACAATTGAAAAACACCGACATGTGTTTCGCCCACATTTTGCTTTTTGCTATTAGATATTCATTTTTGGGGAAATAAAGAACGCCACAAAGGCAGTCTCGCAGAGAAGAGGGAGACATGAGGCTAAGGTTAAAAACGGGGGTTGGTTTAACAGGCAGGAAAATGCCGACACAGACAGCCACAGGACCTACTACTACTACTACTACTAGTACCATTAATAGTACTATTACTACGGCGATTATTACTAATACTACTACAACTACCGCTACTACTGCAACTACCATCAGCACCACTAATACTACCATGCGTGATAATAATACCTTTAATACCACTGCTACTACTGTTAGGCCTGGGCCAAGAGGCCTTCCTGCTAGCATATTGTTTATTCCAGTCTGTTGAGGACAAATAGTTTCCGCTTTAGCAATCAAGGTTGTACAATTGAAGAACACAGACATGTGTTTTGCCGGCATTTTGCTTCATGTTGGAGAATCATTCCTGAAGAAATAAACAATGCCACAAATGCAGTCTAGCAGGGAAGAGAGGGACATGAGCCCAAGGCCAAAAACAGGGGTCGGTATAATAGACAGGAAAACGTCACAAACGCACGATTGGCCGACATACACAGCCACAAGAACTACCACTATTAGTACTAAAACTAGTACTATTACTACGGCGAATACTACTACTACTACTACTACTACTACTACTACTACTACTGGTACTACTATTGCAACTACCGTTAGCACCACTAATACCACAAGGAATGATAAGAATACCTGTAATACTACTGCTACAACTGTTAGGTCTGAGCCAGGAGGCCTACCTGTTCGCACATGGTTTGTTCCAGTCTGTTAAGGGCGAATGCTTTCCGGTTTATGAATCAAGATTGTACAATTGAAAAATACAGACATGTGTTTCGCCAAAATTTTGCCTCATGTTAGAAATTCATTTCTGAGGATAGAGAGCGAAGCACAAATTGCTGTCAACGTGACGCCCCCAGTACATCTGGCCGCTTCGCACACACAAGCAAGCATGCAGCTATCATGAGTGCGCGCACACACAACGACCAGTAGCACGTTGGTGCTGACTAAAT